CTTGTTTCTTGCCTGAAAGGCACCCTTCTCAGACATGGCTTTTTCTAGGGCACGTTGTCGGGCTTCAGAAGTAGCTCTCTCCACTGCTGCACGTTCAGCTTTAAGTCTGACCTCTATAAAAACCTTATCATTGGCCTCAGAAGAAGGCTTCTCCCACTTTCCTCGGGTCCCAGATGTTGTCCTGCGGCGTTCTTCAACATTTGCTCTTTCTGCAGCAACCCTTTCAGCCCTTTCATGGGCTTCAGCCAAGGCCCTTTCACGAGCTTCACGGACTGCTCTTTCCACAGCTAGTCTCTCCTTTTCTCTCTCCCTTTCCCTCTCTTTTGCTTCATCTCTTTTTCTTTGGTCTTCCTTCTCTAGGTATATTTCTTTTTGGGAAGTAGCTTTGGTTTCTGTCTCTATCGGGGTTTCATAATGGTTCTCCTCATCATTTACTGTACTTTGGTTTGTCTCAGTCTCAGAAGCTAATCCAACGGTTTCCTCTTTCCCCTCAAATGTACAAGGGGGCTGATCTGCTTCAATACTTTCCCCATTATCTACCCACCTTACACCATCTGTGGATTCAGGACTATATCTGCTCTCCTGTTGTACTGCAGGTCCATCTCCCTCAACATCCTGATTACTTTCTTCTGATTCACATGCCAACTCCTCAACATGGGTTTCTATATTGCAAGGTATTTCAGACTCTATTGCATGTTGATCATGTTGCATTTGTTCAAGCTTCAAGTCCATCACCCCAACATTTATTCCATTTCTGTCAAAAGCAAAGGCCTCTCTTGCATTCTCCATTTGCCACTTGATCTCATCAAGATCAGAGATGCCTTCTGCAAAGCCAGATGCATCAAATACCCCCGTGTATTCATCATCATTATCCACTTCAACTGCTTCAGACTTGACTTCAAGCCGAGCTTCAGTTAGATCTTCTATCACAACATTCTCTTCTTGTACAAATAGCTCTGGGGTTATCTCTACACCATTGAAATGTTCATGTTTACAGGGTTCCTTAGTTTTAATTAGATTATTTATTTCAACTTGCTCGTAAGCATCCTCTGTTGCTTCACCAACATTCCTATGACACTCAAGAGCCTCTTCAATATCTTCTGTCTTCTCACAATCTACATTCTGATCAGTCTGTTCTTGTATCTTTTCAGTGTTCTCCCACTCAGAAGTCCCTTTTTGTCTCACTTCAGTTTCAATCTCATAAGCCTCTTCAGTCGCTTCCGTCTTCTCGTCTTCTACACTCCCATCAGTTTGTTCTTGTATCGTTTCAGTGTTTTCCCCCGCA